ACTCAAGAAACTTCTTGCTAAGCGCAAGAGAGGCAAATGATTAGGTAGCACCCGAATCAAACAACACCTGAATTGGGATACCGTTCACATGGAACGATCCCGTCGCCACATCGGGTGCGACGCGTGCATCCTCGGCTGTCAGCTGAAATGCTCGGCTCCACACCACTGGAGCCTCTGTCTTGACCTTCCGGCCATCCGCAACTCGTGCTGCCGCTGGAGTCGGCGCCGCCACTGGCGCTGCTGCTGATGCTGCTGACAATCTAGGCCAGTTGGCCTTCTTATGGCCCCTCTGATTGCAATGGAAGCAAATCAGGTCTGATGTCTGAACAGTGGGGGCAGGGGCAGTACAATCCCTGCCAAAGTGCCCCGTCTTGCCGCACTTGTAGCAGCCCGAGGATCCTGCTCTACAAGCCCCCTCATGCGGCCTGCCGCATTTCCTGCAGCGGCTCTGGCCCGGCTGGCCCTTCGACCTAACGTCGGATCCCTTGGGTTTCTTCCCTGAAAACCCCGGCTGGCCCTTCGACCTAACGTCGGATCCCTCTCCCGCACCCTGGCAATCATGGACTCCAGGGTCGGGTAAGCTGAATAGCTGACATGCTCCCAGATATCAGCCCTCAACATATCATGGTAGCGGGTCTTCCGCATCTCCTCGTCCCCCGCATACTGAGGTACCAACAAGGCCCTCTCCCTGAACTTGGCGGTGATCTCCGCCACTGTCTCAGTCGTCTGTCTCATATCAAGAAACTCTCAGGCCAGCTGTTGAATCTCCACAGCTGGCACGAACTCAGCCCTGAATCTAGTCACAAAATCTGACCAAGTCATAGCCTCGATGGCTGGGGCTCCCAACAAGTCACCAACTGACTCCCACCAATCTCTAGCTCTATCCCTCAAACATCCCGCAGCAAAGCGGACCTTCGACCCCTCCGGGAAGAAGCTCGTCAACTGCGCAGACTCAATGTCTGCGATCCATCTCCTGGCAGCAATGGGGTCCTTCACCCCGTGAAAGTCCGGCGCACTACTCCCCAAGAAGTCCTTGAAGGACAATGTGCGCGTACCCAACTAGTTGGACGCCGAGTCCCTCCTGAACGCCTGGAGGCGATCCTCCATCAACTCAATAATCCCTTCCATGATCGACCCGAAAATGATAGGGTTCGACTCAAGGATACCTCTAGTGATCTCTGATGCGATGAACTCGCGTAGCCCGTCATCAACCTGCTCGGATCTCGCACCCGAGCCTGATCCTGACCCAGACCCTAAACCTCATGCTCCATGTCGTGTAACTACCATAATGAAAATAAACACGTGAGCGTCAGGATCATACATACTCCCGAGAGGTCTCACACTCCCCAAGTTTCCTGGTTTCATCTCGGCTCTCCCTGACTCGAGTACGGATCCTCAGCTTTCAGTAGTACGGGCCCATACTACCTTCCACATCTATCCGTACTTTCCTCAATGATTGCCTCAACTTCACCAAGTCCCTTATCCAATATCCCTTTCCAACTAATCTCATCCTAGGCTTTCGTAGGGCACCCTCCGACCTACTCTCCGCCATCAGCTGCGTTTGGAGTCCCTACCACCCTTCCCCAATTAGCTTGCGAATACTGTTACATATTCGCTTACTAGTTAGTTAAAGTTAGCTAGAACCCCTATAGCACAAAGCAAGCAGCATTCGTGCATTGAGTAACCAATTCAAGCATAACCTAATCAGGCTATCTCACTGCTAACTAACAACTCTAACATACGGCTCAATGAGCTCCTATAGCAGGCATACAAGGCTTCCTTCCTAGATCCTTAGCCATATTCTAGCATGAAGTTATCATAAACACATAACATGCATACAAGGCATCCTCCTAGATCCTTAGCCCTAATCTAGCATGCAGTTCTCATAATCATATCATATAACATAACATAAAAAGTATGGGTATCTTGGGGAAAACTTACTTGAGCTCGGCCGGTCGCACGCATCACACACCTCGTTCTTTCTCAAAACTCTTTAATTTAGATTTTAGAAAAACTATTTCCTTGTAAAAATCCTTCAAGACCTCGGTTTGAGTTCAGACACCCCCGAGGGTGTGTCCGAATTCCTCAAACCAAGGCTCTGATACCAACTTGTAACATCCCAAACTTCAAGGCCAAAAATTTCATTTTTAATTAAGTGATTTATAAAATAATTTATCAAAACATTTCCAAGATCATGTCAATACATAAAACCATAAAATCATGTATCAAAACCATATCATTTGGGGTAATAAAATATCAGAGTACAATCCCAGAAAACTCAATGCGGAAACCATGTGTGTGTGTGATGCGCTACTACACCGCCGGCTCCTTCCGCTTAGACGAAGAGGTACCTGAAACCAAAACTAAAACCATAAGCACAAAGCTTAGTGAGTTCCCCCATCATACCACATACCAAACAACATACATATTGTCGGGCAATTCTGGGGTGCCCAACCTACCCATGTCAACCGTTCTGGGGTGCTGACCTACCCATGTCAAGCCGTTCTAGGGTGCTGACCTACCCGTGTCCGGCCATTCTGGGGTGCCGACTACCCTCCGGTCTATCTCAAACGATCACGGAGACTATTTCACCCCCTACTGCTAGCATATAATATCATGTCATAATCATACTGTCAGACATATCTGGGGTGTCCGACCTACCCATTGGTCCTAGCGACCGAATCGGGGACTAATCCCCTCCTACTGATACTATCACCTATAACACATCATGCTAGCATGCATACATATCAAACCAAAGCAAACCAGACAATTATCACAAAGACAATCGTCTCAACTAAACAACTACTAGTGGGTCGGCCTTGGTGACTTAGACCCACTTCTACTGGAAGGTAACTCACCTCGATGTCGTGTAGTGTCTGAACTGTCCTTGGTGCGAAAGTCGACTCTCCTCGACTCCTCAATCCCTACACGAAAACTCTTTTAAGTTATCAATTCGAACATGCAACCCTAACCAGTGTCAACTCAATTCAGTCAAAGTCAACTTTGGTCAAAGTCAACCTCCAGTTGACCTGACTCGTCGAGTTGGTCTACCAACTCGTCGAGTCCATACTCCTCTAACCCAAACAAACTCCCGACTCTACTCGTCGAGTCTAGCAAGAACTCGACAGGTTCTCCTTCAATCATACCATCGGGACCATCTTCATCTGACTCGCCGAGTTCATCCTTGAACTCGTCGAGTTCGTCTCCCTCATAAGAATGTGTCCAGTCTATGACTCGCCGAGTTGTATGACCAACTCGTTGAGTCCATCTTCAAAGATTGGAGATTGCCTTGGACTCGCCAAGTTTGCTCAAACACTCGTCGAGTCCCATGATTCCCAGGTCCCTTATGAGCCTAAACAACTGAGGGACCTTCCATCCTGTCATCTGATCCATCAACAGAATGGATATGGTGGTCATTACACCCTGACTCGCCAAGTCCCAAGAACGACTCGCCGAGTCCATCCTTTACCATTACTATACAGTCGATTTAAATGGGTCTTAACACACCAAAACCATAGATCTGGCCTCCTAATGTCCATTTTACACGTAAAGTTCCAAACTTGATGCACATGCATGGGGTCCTTGGCTCAAAAAGCCATAAAAGGTGGTCTACAAGATGCATGGGGTGTTTATGGCAACAAGGTGGGCACCTTTATGCCATAAAAACCCCCAATAGCCCTAGATCTAAAGCACAAACTCACTTCTTACACTAAATCCCGAATACATCCTCACTGGGGCTTAGAAGGATGTAGAAAAGGTCCAAAATCAAGATCTAAGCAATGAATAGACAAGGTTTCAGCTTTATACCTCAAATAAGCTGGAAATGAGTTCAAAACTCCGGATCTTCTTGTTTCCCCTTGATCTCACAAGTCTCCTTCTCCTCTTCAAGCTTCAATCACACAAAAGTAACACCACAAGGCTCAAGAACACACTAAAAGCGGCTAGGGTTTCGAGGTAATGCTTTTTGGGAATAATAGGGACTATGGAGGCTGAGATAAGTTGTTTAAATAGGGTGCAAACCCTCAAATTTAGGGTTTCATCCAGACAGCTGCTACTCGCCGAGTAGGTCACTTAACTCGCACGTCCACGCCCGATCCTACTCGACGAGTTGATCCTTCAACTCGTCGAGTCCCCTCGTTAAAATGATAATTCTTCATTTTTAAAAAAAATACTTATCAGGAACCGGGCGTTACAAATATACCTAAACTGCCCCTGCATTCTCCATTTTCGTTTATTTTAAAATTTAATATTGAGAGTACGTTGCTATTTCTTGATAGCACCAGTTATAGCGGCCATTTGTGATAAAATCAAATTGTATTTCAGATAACCACCAACTCAAATAGGAACATAGGTTACAAAAATGTAGAAGAATGTGAGATAGAAAACTTGAAGGCTTTGTCACACTACCTAGCCAAAGCATACACAAACATACGGTCACATCAGATTCACACCAATTCACTATTTTCTTCTAAATGACCATTATACCCCTCCACCCTCCAATTTATAAAAAGTTCTTATGATTGAAAACTGAAATAACATTTTACTTATGTTTCGTTGACAATATTTGCAACCGATTAAAGTACAATGCTATAATATAAGAAAACCTCATAAAAATGTTTTATGTTTCTTCTTGTCCCCGGGTTTATATTTCGTTATCTTTCTTTTAGTCATTATTATCCATCATTAATTTATAAGTAATGAATTTATATTTCCAAAAGCAGTAAACATGATAGAAGCTGATTAAAACCCAAATAAGATTATAATGAAATTATAAAAAATAATAAATTGTCCAATGCATTTATTGCTACATCCCATTATTACCTCGCTAGTATACTTGTATAAACATTAACATCATTCACTCACTAATTTTATAACTTTTAATAAAAGTAAAACCTTTACCCTTCACGAAAATTTATCTAGTTGCAAGATTCGTTTATTATGGACCCTTGATACACAAAACCTCTTCTTGGTGCATCATCAGCTTCTAATTGAACTGGATCTCATATATCACTAACCATCACCAAATAAGCATCAATCTGTAAACGAAAACATAAATCCAAAAAATCAAAAGTAAGCTTTCATGAGAATCAGAATCTAATCAATTTCACTCAAAATGAGTTGGGTGAAAGCCACAACGTGCAGTGGCGTAGCCGCATAGAGGCAAAGGTGGGCCTTGACCCACCCTACAAAAGTTCAAGTTATATATATATATATATATATATATATATATATATATATATATATATATATAATATTTTGTTAGATAAAAGGAATTAATTCATCTCATTCAAAACTACAAATCCCATATATGGCTCATACTTTGTAAATTATTTGGCCTACCCTAATTCAAAACTTTAGATCCCATATCTCGTTCATACATTGTAAGTTTTTTGGCATACCCTAAAATAAAATCATGTCTACGCCACTGACAACGTGTGGGAGAACTTCCACATGGAGACAAAAGCTTCAAGTGGATTGGAAACACAAAACACAATCATACTTGATGCCAGAAAGAGGATTGGTGAAGAGGATTGGAGGTCTGATGATAAGCATATCTAAAAATATTGAGGATTAGAGAAGAGAAAGCAAGTGTGATGATAATATTGCGCAAAATAGTAGATTTGAAACACGAAACAGAATCACCCCTGATGTCAGATAGAGGATTGGAGAAGAGAAAGGAGGTCTGATAACAAGCATATCTAAAAATTAGGGTTGAAACCTGTAGGATTACTTTCAGCAAATCGACCAAATAGGGAAATTGACAAAAAAAAAATTGGAATGAATTACCTTTATAATGCTAATTTATTCAAGAGTTTCGGTAATCACCCTCTTACAATGAATAATATAACCATTTGAGAAAAAAACTTGAGTAGAGGTAAACGAATTAAACCTGGTGTGGATCTTCCGGCTGTTCTTTGATCCTGAGAATTTTGGTATGCTCATATACGAATAACCCTTCATATGGATCTACTTCTTTGTCATATTGAGGAATCGGACTGCGTCGGTAAAGCACGAAATGACGACTGAATAATTGAATAACCCCCAAAAATCCGGTCCTGAAATCGAAAAAATTGACCAAAATTCATCCAAACCCATTCTCTATTCTCTAAAACCACACACACACACACACACATCTACAATACACCCCTGAAGCTTCCGATAGTTAAAAAAAAAATCAAAACAAAGATAAAGAGAGAAGCCTCACCGGTTATTGCGATTTAATTGTGGATTTGGAGATAATACTGTTTCCTGATTTGTTGCTATGTAATTGCTAATTCTTTGGAATGTTAGGTTTTTAGAATTAATGATTTTTTGATATAAATCACGTAGTTGATTCCCAAAAAATTTGAATTTCAAAAGAGAAGAAAAGGAATTAACAGGACATGCGATTATATAGTAACACAAGGGTAGAATTGGAATTTCAGTTTGATAATATGTGCGGGAAAAAAGCTGGAGGAGAGCTAAGAAAATGCCACGTGGCGAAAATGTACTGTTTTATTAGAATAGAGGATATATTATATATATATATATATATATATATATATATATATATATATATATATATATATATATATATATATATATTGAGTGGTAAAAAATAAAAGCAAATAATCTCTTTACTCCAATGAAAATGCTCTTAAGGGCCTTTTAAATCAATATAAAAGATGTGGCATCAGTGACATTATCATCAGTGACAATATATATTGAGTATTAAACTGGCATTCCATTTTATTTTTCTAACCATATGGTCCCTATATATGCCATGTTACCATAGGTAAAAGTGAAAATAGAGCTTCTAAAAATGATTCATTCAGATTTGTTAAATATATCAAAATTTGCATTGGTATGTAAAATCACTATATCATATAATCATTTCAATCAAAATTCAAACATAAACGACCAAAAACAAAAAAAAAATTATAATAATTTATACATTTCTTTGTATTTATTTGTTTTAAATTAACCGAAGGATTTACATACGCATATACATTGTAGCTTCCTATAATAAAGATATCATAATGAACGATTATCAACCAAAAATACCTTTAACTAGTTGTAGCAACATCTCAAAAAGTTGTATCTAATATAAACAAGATTATGTTTTCTTAACCATCACAAGTTATTGACTTTTACTCACTCCACAAGCAACCGTTCTTCTTTTTGCACTTCTTTCAACAAATTCTTGTCCTTTTATGAGATTTCGACCAGTTTGGAAAGTGGATTCGACCCGTTCAAATATGGAGATCAGGCGGGTGAATACGCGGGTATTGTGTCTTGATTTTTCACGAGGCTGATTAAACGGTGGAGATAGATGGCTAAGTCGAGTATGTACCGATCCATTTTTTGTTTATCTGCGTGATATAGTGTTTGAAGTCGAATTATGTTGTTGCCTGTTGATGTCTTCTTTCGAAATTCATTTCTGTTTAGATTTAAATAAGTGAAAATTCCAATCGAAATTAGGGCTAATAAGATCACATAATTGTGAGTGTGTTTCATTTTTATAATATTATTTTAATTTCTAGAGACAAAAAAAGGGATAAGTATTGGCCACTTACCCTGTCTTTGTCCACTCTCCCACACATCCAAAACAATGATGTGCTCTGCCGACAAGAAAATGACAAGTGTGAAATAGCAGTAGACTTTATTCTTTTTACCAATACAAACAATACATAATTGCAACCTACTTATATTTTTTCCCGATAATAGCAATTTGTTTTTAATTCATATAGCAATGTACTTACATTTTGTTTACACATAATAGCAACATACTTTCAATTCTTTACTCGTAATATCAACATACTTGCATTTTTTTACTAATAATAGCAATAGGTAACAAAGTACAATGCCTATATATTGATAGCAAAATGCATGTACATTGATATTATTGGTAAATAAATGTAAGTACATTTTGCTTATTAGTAGCGACTACAAAGGATGTAGATAGTGTATGCAATTTCCCCTTTTGATTATGAGGATGAAGAGGGTAATCATGTATTTTGAATAGAACACAGATAAAAAAAAGTGGGTCCCTATCCTACCTTTTTGGGTTGGACAAAAAACTGTTATTTTTTTGTCGGTCCCAGTCAAACGCAGTATAAGACTATCATGTTTTATCATGTCCTGGCTAAGTGGTGAATATTCAAAAACATACTTGACTGTATCAATCGCTATGGGAATGAGCCACTGAAGAACTTTTTCCATTTCCGCCTTAATCTGAGTCATTGTCATCTGAAAACAACCGCATTTATCTCAATAATTAGTTTTCATATGACGACCAATTTGATTGTTTTAACTCTCAATAATCAATAATCAGTGTACCTAAAATACTTGAAAGTAATTATTTATTGAGATTTCAAAATAAAATAGCAGAGATTACTTACCACTTCTTTGGAATCAAGATCTCTTAAGCGATAACGTAATCCTGCTTTTACACTAGCTGGTAAATCGTTGTATAATTTATCCCTCATGTTAGGAAGTACACAGATTGAACGAGATGCCTGCAAAAAGTTAATTTTAAAACTTTTGTACCATATGTATTCATCAAACTACAATAATTAACTATGGAGAAGAAGTTCGATTTGAGTTATATTTTATTTCTAGAAAAATCATAAATTCAAATTTAAAAATTATTATTATAAGGTATAGTTTGTTACAAGGATGATGTGGATCATCGTATGATATTTTGGTTAGCAGAACTTACCCACATGGTGTATATTTTTATAATTCTTAAATATATCATTATTATTATTTTATTTATAAATATTAAAATTGTAAAGATTTCAAGAATATTCAAACTGTTTTTATACCGTGCACCATGAAACTCTAGAGATCGTCTTCAAATATAATTAATGGCTAAATCAATATAATTGTGAAAGTTTGTTGTGTTTTTCTATATTTTTTCATTATGCTAATAACCTAATAGTAAGTAGAGAGTAGCTTACAATGATGTCCATCTGAGTGATTAAATTGGCATAGTGTAAAGCAAGACCATGGATACCTAATCTTTCGGTTTTCTTATTCGCCTTCTTTCTTTCAACTGAAATAAAGCAAGATAAATATCACAAGTTAGAAAATGAAAACACACATCATAACAAAACTTGAACTCCTTTAGTTTTTTTGTTATATTTTCACCATTTTATCAATGTAGCAACTAAACTCTTTTATGTAACAGTTAAGCTATTGAAAATATTTTTGAACGTTAAAAAAAGGAATAAATGTACTTTCACCATTTTATCGATTTAGCGGCTAAATGATTAATACTTTTATTTTATCAATTTAATAACAATAACCACAAGAATGGGAGAGGTAATATGTAGGCAACCTCCACCCAAGGGTATATGAAAATGAAATGTCAGCCAACAATGAAGAAAAAAAATTGTGTTATCTGACAAAAAAGAGAGACAATAAAATTGAAATTGAAGAGGAGCACTATAAGAAAGTAAATATTGTACATAAACACACGCAGTTAAAGCTGAAATTTTCTTTCCCTCATTTACTAGATATAATAGTTAAATGGTTAAATCGATAAAATAGTGAGTGGTTTAACCTTTTCTAAAACAGATTAACTTGGAAAAAGGGTTTTTATAAAAATGGTCAACAAGCAAGTAAAATGGATCACTATATAAGACTGTGTTTTTTTGTAGTTTTCTATAATTTTTTTTGAACCGGAAAATTTAATCTATTCCTAAGCTACCATTTAATTTCACTTATGTTCACAACGTAACTCAAACCCTTGACCTCAAATAGGGAGTACACCACCTGATACCGTAGGCAAGAAACCCTTTATAACCTCAAAATTCACAAAATTTTGCAATACCATTCTCCTCAAAAGAATCCACAATTACGCAATGAATGAAGGTGACAACATCTACAAGCTTATACATAACCTACTACCAAGAAATATAAAATGAAAGGGTCAAATGTCATATATATATATATATATATATATATATATATATATAGGTTCAAATGTTTCTCATATCTATTGTGTGTTAAAATGCACCAATAAGAATTTAGTAAAAATTAAGTTATTATTTAATCAAATAAAGATAGATATTAAATGATTTCCATAATTATATATATACTAAATGATATCCATAATTATAATTATTTTTTATGGAAACTAGTTAAATTTGTCATTAATATCAGAAATAATATTATTTTAGAAATGAATTTATACCTAGTTTTTCGTGTATGAGTTTGTATTTTGTTTCATGACCCACTCACTTAAAATACAACAAAGTTGCCTAGAACATGGAGAACAAGAGTGTGTTCTAGTAGAATGAAAGTTTATTCTAGAAGAATAAGAGAATATTCTAACAGAATGAAAGTGTATTCTACTACAATACACTCTCATTCTTTATATTCAATACAACTTTGTTGTATTTTAAGTGAGTGAATCCATAAACAAAACACGAACTCATACATGAAAACTTAGATGTGACTTCATTCTGAAAGAATGTTGTTGCTGACATTAATGATGAATTTAATTAGTTTTGATAAAAAAGAGAATTATAATTATGAATATCATTTAATATACATATAATTATGGAAATCATTTAATATCTATCTTTATTTAACTAAATAATTATTTAATTTTACTAAATTTCTATTGATGCATTCTAGCACACAATAAATGTAAGAAACATATTAACTTAACCTTTTATATATATATATATATATATATATATATATATATATATATATATATATATATATATATATATGGGAGTTTTGTGATTGAATTAATGCAAAATAAATTATTTATAAAAGAAAGTTAGGAAATTAAACTTTCAATTAAGTCGCAACTTTTTACATATCTTCCGATATTTATTTTTCTCTTCGAATTTTCTAAGTGTGCCATCATTTTTTTTAAGTTTCATCCGTTTACATATTTTCAAACATTTAATTTTCTCTTCAAATTTTTTAAGTGTGTCATCATTTTCTTAAATATATTTTGAACACCACTTATCCATACGACACGTTATTTTAGTGAACACTTAATAGAAGAAAAAACAAGAGAAAACGACTAAAATCACCACTTGCCTTAATGACTTTCCAAAAATAGCCCAAATTTTAATGTATTACTCAAATAGCCACACATTTTGCAATGACCCATTACAAAATGGACTATTTAATGCTAGATCGGTTCCCATATTTAAGGTCTGTTTTAGTATTTATTCATTTTTACATCAGTCTTCTTTTGTAAAATCTCTCAACTTAACACTTTCTTTTCACAATATAGAGTTCCCTCACTTCATTTTCACAATATAGAGTTCCATTTTGATGCGGAAATGGCTTTTGAAGATCCCTACCAAAAACAAAACGTTTTTTGGGCAAAAGCAGTATTACTATTTTCACAAAAATTTGACCAAATACACATTGTGAAGAACAATTTTGCATTTCACAGTGTAAATTTCGCATTTTGTTGTGTTTAAAAAATATTTTTTTGTGGAGACCATACAAATAGTGCATTTTTGCAATGGGCAAATGGGAAATGTGTGGCTATTTGAGGAATTGGTGGAAATTTTGTGCTGTTTTTCGGCGAATCATTAAAAAGTGATTATTTTAGTCTTTTTCTTAAAAAACAAACCTAGAGTCCTCTAAAGATACATAAAATCCGATCTAACAAAAATGAGACTCTTCATCGTAAGTTATATCAGCTTGTACCTCTTCTAAATTTTTGGACCAAAGAGATTTCTTTTTCAAATTGCTCACAAGTTTTCTTTGATTCTTTAGCTCACTTTGTAATACCATGAGACTCTTTCCTATGAAACAAAGAATCAAATATTAGCTAAACAACCAAACCCCAACAAATATAAGTAGGTTAATATATTATTAGAACTATTCTAAATTTCATAGAGGATCGATGTATTACATAGGGTTGCAAACATATTTAGAAGTTAATGATCCTTTTTTATTTAATACAACAATTTAGTAAGTTGTAAACACTTAAATATTCAATGACCGGCTTTTACACCCTTCAACCCATTTCCTTTTTACTAACATCTTCAACTTTATTCATACGAATCGTTTACAATACAATAAATATATACCCGAAATGACACATTTTCATGTATATGGGTTGAAATTGTCCCCTTTACTTATAACACTTCTACTCACAAAATCATATGACTGACCTTTTCGAGGAAGATTCTGAGATTCCACTTCCTCAATCTTACACGAATATAAGTTTTCAGATCTTTCCAAAGCATGTAACTCGTGGAACAATTCCTTCACACAAAATACAAGCATCATGGATAGAACGTATAGATTAGGCAATGGTATATACTAACCAACTATGTGCAAGAAATAGCATTGTTCTTTTATGTTTTTATTTTTGTAAAGGTTTATGATAATTTAGCAACCAACTATTTCGTATATGTCCTCATTTGGTCACTTTAGTCATTTGAATGTCTAGAAGGGTAACCAACTACTATTGTTGTTCTAGATTTACCATTATTAAAAAAAGTTTCATTGAACATTAACAACTAAAGGAATTACTAGAGAGTTTATCCAAAGTCATCTTCTTTTCTTCCAAAAGCATAAAACTCATCCAAAATCACAACCATTTGAATGTAGATTTCGATTTTGGTAGATGCATATTATATAATAAATAATAAAATGACCAACGTCACTAAAAGACTACACACGAAATAGTTGGTCGCTATATTGTAACATAAATGTTTTTTTCCTACTAAGGCATTGCACTTTGAAAAATCTACTTAAACATGGCATGGTACTTTTAGTGTTTCTCTTATTAAATTATAGGAGTGGAAGTTGTTTTGTATTTGGATGACAATGTTATTACTAGGTAGAATTTTTCTAAATACATATAATAAAAAGAAATGAAAGTAGGATGCTATAGCAGACAATTCAACAATATATAGTTCGTTGCTATTTCTTGCATTTAACCATATACTAAAGTGCTATAGAGGGACGTAGTATGTAAAAAAAAATCATCTTTGAGGAACCAATTCATGACCAACAAGAGAAGTTTGCATCTTCTAATCTTCATGGTAGGAAAACTCTATATACAAAATGTTATGGATGTGCAAATTAGATGATTAATCAATCCAAGTTTTTGGAGGTGAGATAAGACAACGCATTATACTCGGAAAATTGTAATAAGGTAAAACAAACTTTAATCCCATTTTTTTTCTTTGTAATTTTGCTCAAAATTACACCACGAAACTAAAATACATAGTTGGCCATTTGATCCATTTACATAAAAATTGGTATATTTTATTTAGAAACGAGTAACATTTAAAATAATGTGGCTATACATGGATTCAAAATGCATACCTCTTAGATCGTTTATTAAAATAAGATATTATTATTCATAAAAATTGGTGTTTTTAATCATATTAATAAACTAATTCTTTATAAGTGACTTACATAAGTATACTGAGCAAGATTGGTGAGTTCTTGCATCGCGATCTCCACCTCTTTTTGAAGGTGTTTTGTTTTTATGGGTTCCAAACGCAACCTGATTCATAGTTTAACTATACAGTTTTTGTAATCATAATTAACACACTAATCATTTATAAGTGACTCAATATTTTTAGCTTTACCTTGAAAAGTAACGATTCAATTGATGCAATTGTGCATCCCTACTCCGATTTCCAAATCTCACCACCTCTTTCAAGAACACTTCAAATTCCTCTCTATGAAAAAGCCAAAGTGGATAAAATTTTAAGGCAGATCAAAATTTGAAATATCAATCGGTTTTAGCATTGTAGTTTTGAGAAAAAATTTCTTATTAGGCCATTTTACTTTGCAAAATTCTACACAATTATAACACTAAAAACTGCTTTGTATTTGGATAACATTGCTATAGTTGGATAGATTCTTCAAAATATAATGTTGTAATACAAAGAATTAAATTACATTGTTATTTCTTGCATTAAGAAATAATGAAATTACCTCTTGTCGGCATTTGCAATACTTAACAACTCCTTTATATCCGTAGAAACCAACAATTGCACCCCTTCCGAATACAATATTTCCTTTAAAAAGATTTGTATGTTTTCTTCTGAAAGGGATTGCATCAAATTGTACCCTTTCACAATAGTATTAGCCACTTCAAATGCTAAAATAGATATTGTATTCGGGATATCAACTTTCTTCATGTTGCTTCCTAAAGTGTCTAGGACTTTAACAACATCAAATTTACCACGAAACATGCTTACATGCGCCTACCAAAATGCAAGATTATCATTGTCATGATAGCAAATTCAAACAAAATACATTTAAAGTCCGAACTATTATAAAAATAACACAAAAGAAATTAACCAGACGCAACTAAGCTCAATTAATGGAAACATAAAATCTAAGAAGTCAGAATAAGGATCAATCATAGAATTTGGAATCACCTGTTCTCCAAAAAAATTGCGAACTCAATTTGCTTTTCCAGTACTTGGATTTTGAAACTTCTCTGAAAAATAAAATATAAAAACTGAAATTGTAGATAAACACAGACAAAATCGATATGTTCATGGAGAAATTAAAGATACTTAAGAGAAAAAAATTACCCGATTCAAAGTAATGAAGACTTGATGCGTGGTTTGAGAACTACTAGAACTGGAAGATATCTCTCAACGTATCCATTTGACCATTTGGGTTTGGGGAGTTTTGCTCAAGTAATATGATAATACCAGAAGATTCTTTTGAAAAAAATATAACATTAAAATATTTATCATATTTTATTTAAAATATTATATAAAGTTTGGTCTTTCATTTGACCGTTTCTAAACACAAATTATATATATATATATATATATATATATATATATATATATATATATATATATATATATATAAAGAACTTATAAGTATACTTATGTAATAATGTACTTATGAAAAAATTAATGTTTGAATAAGTAATAATTATACTTGATAAAATAAACAAGTGGATAAATGCAATGGATGTATAAGACCGATCAAAGAGGAGGGAAAGGAAGATAAGTGGGTAGGGGCAAAATTATCAATTTACTTTAAATTTTTGTGGATGCAAAAAAACATTCGTGGATATATCAGCACCTTCACTTTTAGTTTAAGGTAACATGCTACATGCATAACCTATTATTTGAATCAAGTAAAACTCTTACGATGTTTTTTTCTCGAAAATTAAATATCCTTCTATATTTTATTTCTATTTATTTTCTTACTATATCAAATGTTGACATGTGTCACATTTAATGACATATTTAATAAAATTGATTTAATTTTAGTCTATTTGTCATCATTTAATATGGATAGAAGGATAATAGGAATAAAATGTAGGAGGATTTTTAATTTCTCTTTTTTCTCATAGCCGAATCTTTGATCAGACAACATTAACATTATAACAGGTAATTTCCCAAACGCTTTAACAAATGCTTCTTTTTGGAAACGACATATAAATATATAGAAACAACCGAAACTACTGCCAAGTAACTAGAGAATATCAGGGGAGAGGAAGGAGAGGAAAGGAAAATATGAGAAATACAACAGTTACAGAACAATTCACAGGAGGCAATTGATCCAGTCCCACCATTTTGTGTTCACCTCACTACACCTATGTTTGATCCAAGTAAAAGTAAAAGAGAGTGAGATAATTCCATCAATCATCAGGGAAGGAGAGGGTGATATTTTTTAAAAAATCTTATTGTACCTAGACAGCCAGATGCTCCAGATTGTGCAATACCATATGACTGTGAGGGTTATTTTTTCATTGGGACTATTCCCCCAATTTGATGCAAAATCAATAATATCCCTAACCCCATTGAACGCCTAAACTAGGAAATTAAAAAATTCATTCAAAAACCTTCCTTGCAATGGGGCATGTCACAAGGGCATGGTCACATGTTTCAGTGACAATTGAGCATGTTCACCGAGTGCATCCCTCGTTTGTTGAGTGAGTGAGCCACCGGTATTCCATCATTCCAAGCTCTACAAATGAAACACATTACCTTTGTAGGGACAGATTTCAAACATTTAATCCAAGGATCCATGTAAATGGTTATTTTGGAGTCAATTAGTTTACGCAGTACATCGACTGTGTAGGTGCCATCGGGGGTACTAGAGAAATGAAAGATATCAGACTTGGCGTTGAGCTGGAAGTAGGTTATCATGGCCTGCAATTGACTAGGTTTCGCTGCTTGTTACACTAGTAGATAAAGCATTTAATGGTGCGATCGTTTTTTTTTTTGGTGTGGACTAGTCCAAAACCGCATTATTAAAGCATTTATTGGTGCGTTTTCCGTATAATCGTAGTAAAAGCCATTAAAAACGCGTTTATTAGTGCTTTAGTTGAAAACTGGACCATTAAACATTATAAAAACACACAATTAAATACCTAAGAATCGCAACATTTAAATTTTCATTTCCCCCCTAAAAATTTGGTTCTAATTTTTCATTTCCCTCCACACTTCAGATTATATACTTGTGATATTGTAACGTCCCAAAAATTAAGACTAAAAATTTCGATTTTTAAATTAATAAAACCATTATCCAACAACATCATAAAAATCATGGCAAATCAAATTGTATCAATAACATCCCAGTACATCAGAGTAATATAAAAATACCGAACGATATGGTGTATGTGATGGGTTTTTGGTAAAACAAATAAACTAGAAAACAATTCCTAAGTTCACATGCAACCTACTTTGGATCTATGTTTTAACTATTGAACATATAACTTTGAATTGCAAAACAAGAACCCTAGAGGAGAGAGGCTAATTTCGAAATTAACAAACTTGGGTTTAGGAGTTACATACCTTTCAATTGTTATAGCAAACAATTGATAATCCTCTTGATCTTGATCTTGATCTTCTTGGAAGCTTAGCACCACAAATGTAATGCCTCTAATGGAATCACACCCAAGAACTAGCAAGAAGGAAACTTGGAGGAGAGAGGATGGAGAGAGTATGCAATTTCGGCCTTAGGGTTTCTTCCAAAGAAATCAGTGACCTCAAATGTGAGCCAGGAGGCTCCTTAAATAGCTGAGGGAACTAGGGTTTTGGGAAAACCCTAATGATCCTTGCTTAAGGCCTAAGCAAAGCCCAAGGGCTTTATCTAGAACCCCTTGGACGAAATCTCTAGGGTTTCCCCTATGGATTTTGTCCACCTCCATCCAAGGAGGTTCTGGATCCTTCCATTCAACTATTAGTTAATTGCAAACTAGTCCCTGCACTTTATAATTAATTCTTTTAACCCCAAAATTAATTCTGATTAATTTCTGGCTAACTATTAATTAAACATAATGATTTCTAATTAATATATTAATCTATTAACATATTAATAAATCATTTATATATTAATTTATTAATCTTATAAATTAATATCTCTCCTTTCATAATTTCCTTGTCCAGTTGCTAGGTTGAGGGCAACCCAAAAGGACTGTGCTGCTATCAATTCAAGTACATACCAATTATAGTTATGGGCTTAGACACCTAATCCAATAGTCTCCCACTTGGATAAGTCTGTAACTATAATTGCTAGTATGCCTTCTAAATTTGATCAACAAATTGTAGCTTCCAAAAGCTGCTGCCGAACTCTGACCCAGTCAGTTACGTGTCCTAAGATAAGTGATCATATAATCCTTCGTTCTGCTAGATATCCCTAGACATAAGACATGGAATATAATCAATCTCTTTGTCCAGAATGTATGGTTTCCCGATTCCTGATTTGTGATGATGTAGGACTTCTAATTGAACACATCAATTTAGTCCTGGCTGGGCCCAGCACATAAGTCAACACCAAATCATGGAGGGGCCCACAGATATCGCTTTTCCGCTTAGGGCAAAAGGAACGAATAAACGTTGACTCATATGCTTGTATCTTTTACTCATCAAATTATACATGACAGTACGTTTTTATAACACCAAGTTACTGATGCGTTTTCGTATCACCAATGCATGACCGACTTGTAAATTACAACTCATATATCTTCGTTTCAAGATTATAAGATATTATCGTCTCAGTATTACTCGTGATGAATTCCATGAAGTGATACTCTGAGCGAGAGTTTATCCAATACTCAAATCTCAATTTCTGAGTACTCATGAACATTGCAACAATTCTATTGCCATGCCTATCCTCAGATAATCTACAATCTAGTTCATGACAGTCTTAATTCACTACTTACTTCCAAAAGTACGAGCGACTGTGGAGTTTGAATAATCTTATTATTTGGGAAGTAAAACATGCAAAAATGAAACACAACAATAAACAATTGACAAAAGGCAGAAACCAAACTTATAAATAATACTTTATTATTTAATCACCAAAAGTCAATTACATTTACTTTGTTACAAGTTTCAGAACAAAACTAATCTAACTACTAAAACTAATATCATCTTTCAGTCCTATGCTCCGAGCATGCTGAATATGCTTAGCCCTACTCAGACCCTTTGTGAGGAGATCTGTTGGGTTATCTTCAGATGATACCCTCTTTACTATAAGATGGACTTCTTCTACTCTATGTCTGATAAAATGGTAATTTCTGTCGATATGTCTGGTTTTACCATGATCTCTTGGTTCCTTTGTCAAGGCAACCGCTCCTTCATTATCGCAGAACAGTTGCATAGGCTCCTGGATGGTTGGAACAACTCCGAGATCCCCGATGAAGTTCCTCAACCAAGCTGCTTCTTTCGACGCTTCACTCGCTGTTATGTACTCTGATTCACAAGTAGAATCAGCCACCGTATCTTGCTTGGAAATTTTCCAAGTAACTGCTCCTCCATTCAGTAAAAATACCCAGCCTGATTGAGAACGGAAGTTATCTCTATCCGTTTGAAAGCTGGCATCACTGTAACCATCTACTCTCAAAGTATCACTGCCACCAAGCACAAGGACCCAGTCCTTTGTCCTTCGCAAATACTTGAGTATATTCTTAACTGCTATCCAATGAGCTCTACCTGGTTTTCCCTGATAGCGATTGACCATGCTCAAAGCAAATGCCACATCAGGGCGAGTACATGTCATAGCGTACATGATCGATCCGACAGCAGAAGCATAAGGTACACGACTCATGTCATCTATTTCAACATCTGTACTCGGGCATTGAGTCTTACTCAATTTGGTATTGCTCTGGATAGGTAGCTCTCCCTTCTTGGAATTTTCCATACTAAACCTCTTTAGTACCTTATCCAAGTATGTGCTCTGACTAAGTCCAATTAGTCTCTTCTTTCTATCTCTCAATATTCTAATCCCAAGAATATAGGCAGCTTCTCCAAGGTCTTTCATGGCAAAACACTTTCCAAGCCAAGACTTAAGTTACCAATGAGTAATATGTCATCGACATACAATACCAGAAAAGTTACTATACTCCCTGATGATAATTAATCTCAGATCGATTAGATCTTTCACAGGTAAAAGATAAAAATCAAACAAAACAAACACAATAACAGAATCAACAATATGCTTATGATTCAAATATAGTCACGCCTCAGCAGAGCTCTATGAAGAACTTCCACTGTAGAGGCGAGCTAGGGTTTACAATACTCAAAAAGAATAAAAAGCAAAGCGTCTTTTTTTTTCAAAGACTGCATGCATGCAGCTTAAATACTAAACCCTACAGAAAAACATGCATGGTTGGACAGGCCCAAACCGTCAATCAAAATTGGGCTAAGGACCGAGCCCATGACGCAACACTATAAGCCCAACAATCTCCCCCTTTGCGTCGAATGAGGCGAGAGATCAATTTCTTTGAGTAGGCTTCACAGTCTTGACAACCTTGAACAGCCGAGGGATGACTGCAAGAAGTGTTTGCCGAAACTGAATGTACCATCGTAGCATGTCAGTAAACAACTTCTTATCGGCTGTAGAATTCTGATTGCACTTGTGGATAATCTCCAAGATATGTTCCAAGCAAGCAGTTGAGAATAAGTGCTTATCACACAGAGCGAAGATACATTTTTGCTTTTCGTCTCTAACAAACATTACTGTGTGAGACTGTGGGTCGATTCTACCCTTGACCATAACATTCACATCGCCCATTCTGCCAGAAGGTTTGATCGTTGGATGCTTGTGAATGGCAGCGGCGATCTCTTGGTCCATTTTCGCCACTTCGTGAATGTAGCATACAAGCATTCGCTTGATATGGTCAATGATCGGCTGGTACTCCTGTGGATTTGACATCAGGATGTTGTTGAGAAGTATCCAGTCGTGGGGATTGAGGTTCGGTAGATCAGCGAGGGTGAAGTTATGAACCGAGCCTTCAGAGCCTCGAGTCACTTTGAATTTCACATTGACAAACTTCCCTGCTGAGTAAGGCTTCAGAACCTTGACAGTAGTAATCTTCTGTAAACTCCATGTCAGGTGCTGTGGCTGAGCAAACTCCAGATAGAACTCCAAAAGATCCCGATCAACCTTCGGGTCTGGAAAGGGAATAGAAACAGTTGAGTTAAAGCAGTGAAAGATGAATGCCTTTTTCGCGTGATCGGCATGTCAAACTGTGCATCCTTGGAGTTTTCAAGCCCAAACGACATCACAGGCTCAAGCCACAGTGTACAAGGTTCATCGATAGCACACTTTTGAAGCGAATCAAGAGTCCACACAGGAAAAATGGACTTCTTCTTTTCCAGGAGCTCTTTTTCTTTAAGCTCTTTTTCAAGCTCTAACGATTCCTTCATCAGTTTTTCTTCAAGTTCCTTATCAGATGCCTTTGTTTTCTGAAAAGGATTAGAGGGATCTGGTTTAAAAATATCTTCAATATCATTTATCAGTATCATCATCTTCACCAATTTTCTTCTTCTTCTTATTGCATCTATCACTGACCGAAGCTTCATTAACCTTCTTCTTCTCTCCCCCTTGTTTCGGTTGGACACCAGGCACCGGAACACCCTCAATACGACTAAGAATGGCCAGGGCAGGTCGAAGTTTATCAGCCAAATGCCTACGAGTGGTGATGGTGATGATAGGATCATGAGCTTCAAGGAGGTGAAGTAAGATGGAGTGAACATCAGCAGCTGAGCCTCGAATAACTTCCCTCTCAGACTTCAAGTCATTGAGTTCAGCTGTTGCAGTGCGAAGTTTGAGATTCTGGATTTTCAGTTGAGAGGTTCGCTTGTCGAGTTCATCCATGACTCGATTTTCAACTGCCAATTCTGCCTCCAGTTGAGTTAAG